AGCCACTGTGGCTGGTTTCTTGCCATTTCGGTTCAACCTTCTGGGCTTGCAAATGCTTTGCCTACGGAGCTTTATTATCTTGCTGTCTTCTGGTCTGACATCTTACTGAGCTGTACTGCTGCCGTCTTTGTAAGATGTAAATGCTGCACGTACTGTGGTCACCCAGCCCTCACTCAGGGCGATTAGATTGGTCCTGGCTGCTGTCCCCGTCTCATGGTGTGTGGTATCCTGCTCATGTCGTGTGGTATCCTGAGGCAAGGAAACGGAGAGTAGTCTGCATATCTCAGGATCACTTGGTGATGTTGCAGCGCTTTCAGTGTGAGTGTTTTGGTCTGATGATCTTGCTGACACCTGCTCCCAAAAGCTTCATGTTTCTGGCCACAGCTCATCTTCCCTGTTAACTGATGTTGAAATCTGTAGTGATCTACCTGTGCTTGCTTAAGCATGGAAAGTTGATCTCTTTCACCTCGTGTTCTTTGGAGGACTTGGGAGAAAGCAAAACAAGGATGAATGCCGAAGATACTGATTTACCCATCCAGGATTCTCACCATTTCAGTCCTACTTGCATGCATGTGACCACTTTGATAAGGTGGTCCAGAGGACATGTGTAGTGGTCTTGTATTTCTGAGCAATTGGTTCCTTCTTTCTCACCCCCACCATTTCCCATGTATCTTTTCTAACACCAAACTCATCTCCTGAACTTGTAGCCCAGGACTGTAAGTTCTCCAAGTATAAGCATCTCTTACATTTTCAAAACACCTTTCAGTGTGTCAGCTGTGTGGGAAGGCTGTGACAGAAAATAGATGTGCAGTAACAGACCCGTGGCATCTTGTAGCCGTGATCCAGTCATTTCATAGTGCTATAGCACTGCAGCACCATGTGTGACTTAGCGAATGCCTAAAGTCAGCTGAGTGTCTCTGCTCCTTCTCTTCCATTATCTTATCCTCATTGCAGCATTGCCAGTCATGGAGTTAATAACTGAAGCTGTAGATGTGCTGTGACTGCAGTTCCTAAACAGGATCAGTGCCAGGACACCAGAGCTGCTTATTCAATTTCCCATCTTGCTGTCAAAGAATGGAAGGTATTTTAAAAAGTCTCAAAAAACTTGATGAAAGAAGTGCAACTACAGGAATTGGGCTTCATGATTCCCCAAACAGCGTTTCTCTCTCAAGCGCAGGGTTGGTTTGGGTGGCACTCTGTTCTCTTGGCGTCTGCCTGTGTGCACCACACTGTCATGGTGAGGAAGCATGCAGCTGCTAACGCCAGCTGTTACATGTCCATCCACAGTGCAACCGTGTCAAGTTAAGACTTCTGAGTTGAAGCAGACCCCAGAATACACCAGCTCAATAACCTTGATGGGGTTGCATCTCCTACTTAAAAATGCTTTAAAGCAGCAAATATTCAATATAGCAATAACTTTTATGTTGGGCCTGTTATAGATTTGTGCTTTTTAAAAACCAAAAATTTCAGGACAGCTTTTGAGTGCAGTTGAACCCAAATAACCAGCAAGTCCTGTTCTGATAACACTTCTAAGATGCATTTGTTGGTGGGTTTGTGACTGCCTGGCTACAGTCAGCTGCTGTGAGCAATGCTCGTGTTGGATACGCTGGCATGTTTCTGCCAGTATCTTCCATTTTGAAATTCAGATGCTGTTTTGCAACAAGCTGCCTACATATAGAAAACGTAGTTTGTGATTCTTTTTTATACATTCTGCGGCTGATTGTTGATGTCTATGACTGGATTTTTTCCTCTATTTCTCTCTTCTTTTTTCAGCCATGAGATATGTTGCGTGAGGCCCCATTTCTTACAAATAGGTTCTTTAACACTAGTGAACAAAAGTTTATTTATTTGCCTTCTTTCTGGAAGAAGGCTTTGTTGTGTGCTGGAAACAAAAGCTGGTACGATACAGATCTCTTCTAATCTGTGTTGATGATAAATAGCCTTGAAGTCTTTTTCTCTAGAATTTCCAGTCGTAATTTGCATTTGTGAAGGTTGAAATAGTTGATGATTTTGCTCCTGTTTTCTTCAAGCGTCTGAGAACTTACTTATTCTACAGAAAACAAAGTTAATTCTCAGATTTTCCTGGTTATAGACATGAATCAGGCGCATTACACAGGAAACTGTTGAACTGTATTTTTCTCCTGCTTCTTACTTGGTCCTCTACATGTCCTCTGTGTGAGGGCACAAGAGGTGGAGGCCACAAACTTCCTTCCCTTTCCTGACCATGGATAGAACCTGACAACTCTGTCCTTCGTCCTAGCTTCAAGTACACTTAGATAACCGCAGACATCAATTCTTTGAAGCTTTGTATCCTCAAACTGTGTCATATCCTATTTTATGCTTTGCTAGATCCCATGGAAGATCTCTTGAACGTGGGCAAAGCTCCTCAGACTTACTGGCTCTGAGGTGCACTGGGCCGTGCAGCCTGAGATACAATGAGCCATCCTTTTAAGAAGAAAATTCTATGGTCCTTTTCTTTCAGGGAAGTACTCCTTACTAACGAGTGTCTACTACTTCCACCTTTTGAAATAATCTATGAAAATCTTAGATCTTATTTCTGACAAGAACTTTTTAACAACCGGTACCAAAATAGTTAATTCATTTCAGGAGCTTTTTGCCTGCCCAAGCTGGAGATTGAGGTTACAAGTTGAGGTGCCAACAAGTGCAATGACAGTTGAGAAGACATCACGTTCTATGAAGTGGGAAGCTGACCTGCTCTGTCCTGTAGGGAATGATGTATCCTGGTTTCTGACAACCTCATACCTTCACTCTGCCTTCCCCGTGCTGCTTTTCTGTCCCTCTGCGGGCAGCCTTTTGTCAGCAGGGCTCGCTCACAGCAGTTGTGTTGTTGCTGAGTTGAGGGAGCGTTGGGTGAAGATGTGTCCCTCCCAGTGCTGGCTACACTTGCCTCAAATACAGGAAAATGAAGAACTGGCTGTCTCAGATTCAGGACAAGGATGGTCTTGGCTCATTCCCACATTTGAAACTGGTCCAGGGCTGGTTTGCATGTCCTGTAAAAGGCAAGAAGTCAGAGCTTCCTTTAAACTCCTTAGGTAAAACCCACTGACAGCTATGCCTACATGTCTGGAGCTTTAAGGTGATGTGATAGCATGTAGGAGTGTTACACTGTTCGCTGGCCTTCATTTCTCTCTTTTACTGCTGTGGTTGGAGTTGGGTACTGACTTGTCCAGACCCCATGTGGACAGAAGGGTTACGGCCCTACCTCATGTGTAAGGCTCAATCCAGTGGCTGGGCTCTCCCATCTCTCTTCCCTCCTGGACCGCGATTCCTGCCATGAGTGCTTCAGAAATGAAGTGCCAACTCCACCAGTTCTCAGAGGCAAAGGATGCATTCCTAAAATGATTGTGAAATAATTTGACACTCACCTGCCATGAGAGGCATCCCACCTAAATGGTGTGGTGTTCCCATGTGGTCAGCAGCACTCCACAGTGCAAATACTGAGAGAAGTTAGAACAGATACTAAAAAGCAGACTTTTACCCGATTGGTTTCCCTTAAATGTTAATAAATAGGAGCATCCATTTCCTGGAATGAGAGAATCTGGTATTACACTTGCATTCTTGGCAAAATTTTCCTGTACCAAATTTTCTTTTTGGCCAGAACATGTGGTCCAGAAGAGCCCAGGCCTTCCCTTTTAGATGGATCAGCCCAGTTCTTTTTGAGAGCATGGGATCACCCTTATATATAGCACAAATACTTTGCTGCTAGAAACCCTGTGTTTCACAGGTGAGTAGTAGTTGGAGAATGACACGTTTTCGTGTTTAGGAGATGGTTTCAGATATTTCTAATTGTATTTTCATAGCCCTTGGCCAGCAAAATCTGCCTAGGGTGAAATAAGAGATGGCAGATCGAGAGAATGCTATCAAATGTCTGAGAAATGTATTCCTATAAAGGCAGAGGACAGAAATAAGAAGAAAAGGGCAGTCGTGGTAAGATGTGGGGTTCCCGTGATAGCTAAAACATGCTCTAGTTCTGTTATTCTTTGAACAGCAGGAGTGTGAAACAAGCACTCCAGGTCTTGTCCTGTCCTCTCCTTCCCCTCTCCTCTCCCTCCTGGTCTTTTTCCTTCCATCTGCTGTTCTATTCCTGTTCTTCCCCTGAGGTACTGGGGTGGCCAAGCAGTGGTATACTCCGTGTGGAGGGTGCAACTCGTTACCTCTGCCAGTGAGAACATCCTGCGTACAAACAAGTCTTCGTGCACAAGTAGCAATAGAAGCGTGATCATTTTGTTGCAAGTCTTGAACAAATGAGAACAACAATTAATTAATGAATTAGTTTTCATCCCTTCTTTTTTTGATGTGGGTCACGTGTTTCTGGAGGGCATGCCATGCGTGAAGAGATTATTTAAATTTCTCAAATTGGGATTATTTTCAGAAAAACAGCTTCTTAGACTATTTCAGACTGGGTTTTTACTCTGGACATTGTGTGGTTCTTTGAACAGCACTGAATACTTATTTCAGGCTGATCGTCATTGCAGTGGCATAATGATGTGTCTTGTCAGGGCTGGATCCAGCTGTGGCTTGGCCTGATGGACACACAGCTGTTTCACTGCCACGTGACTGCCTGGTTGCACACGTGCTCTTTGGTCTGCATAAGGGAGGAAATGGGACTTTATTTCACTAAGGCCCCTACTCCTCTTGTTATTTCTGTCCCTGTGTGTTGCTAGTGGCTGCAAAAGAAAATGCCTAGTCGAAAAATGGAAATAAATATTATGTTTTTAAGCTATTCATAGAGAAACAATTTCAAGAGGTTTAGACCAGGTTAAACTTTCATGTATTTTGTAGGTTAAAAGGGTGTACTAATTTATAATCTTCCCCTCAGAGAACTTGTTTTAAGTCAGTCTTAAAATGTAATCAGTGGTATCTCTAGTCACCTTTTAGCAAGCACTGTGGTAGTGGTCGTTACGCTTCCAGCAGTGCAACGTAATGTCATCTGTATGAAGCTTCTGATTTTTAGTCATTCTTGAATTTTATTTCAGGACATAACTTGGCAAGATGAACACTCGGCACCGTTCTCCTGGGAAACAAAGGTGAATATGCAGCATTTTTATTTTTAATGTTGGTTTGTCATTTTATACTGTTCCTTGTGCATTTATATTGTCTTCATGTTGAGACTTGATAGACTAATGCCACCTTTATTCCATGAGGCCTGTGTAAACTGACCATCCTCCAAATGCAACAGGACTAGTGTGCTTTGATCTACATCAACAGAAACACAAAAATGTACTTCATGAAGTAATGTTCTGGCTTCAGCTGCAGGTGTAAAACTAATTCATTACAAATTATTTGATTTTTCGTTGTAAACTTTTTAAACAACTTTACATGTTTAGCAAGACCCGTGTCTCAGATATTTTGTAAATGTAACTGCATTTCACTGCAGGAGTAAAGTAGCTAGTGGGAGGAGAAAGGTACAGATACCTAATAACTTCATTGGATTCTTTCTTAAACCCTGTCTTACCCCTCATCTTTTTATGTACTAGAATGTAATGAAACTTGTTAACCTGGGGCCATGCTAGAAGCATTGTGTTATTTCCTCTCCAAAAGGCAGCTCCTTCGAAAAATAGTGGGTTTTTTTCTGTGGTGGGTTGGTTTAGGGTTTGGTTTTGGTTTGTTTTTTTTTTTCCCTCTCTTTACCTCTGTTTTTTTTCAAAGTGTTATTTACGATGGGATTCTCATAAGGCTACTATGGAGAACTTCTACACTTCTGAACCTGCAATGTGAGGAAATAGTTGTGCCATATTTGTGGTGGGAAATCAAGTTTAATTCTTGTTGAAGGAAATCAAGGAGCAGAAACACAGCTCATTGCCTTTCTCAGCTGAGTATGGTGGGCATGTGAATTTAATGACACGTTTCAGACTTTGTGTTTTATGGCTTTATCTGCCGGAGAAAGCTGCTTCTCACCTGTTTTTTCCATTTTTTGCCCTTGAACTACGTAGATAACGATGAATGAGCTTATGAATATAATCTTAGCCTAATGCAGAGTAATAACTTGGAAATGCCAGTGAATACTAAATTAATCCGGTTGACCCTAGGCTTGTTGTCAGCCTTCCCTGCTCAAGGTCACTGACTGTAGCTAAGCACCCCATCTGTGCTTTGCAGATGCTGATTAACCTATAACTTGATGTGACTCCTCGATCCCTGCAGCCTACAGTGCTCTAGTTTAAGAGAAACCGTTGCCAGTCTTCACTTGCCTTAAAACTCCCTTGTAAGTTGTGGTGGGTCAGGAGCCAGTGGAGTATTTCCTACAGTGGAAGCCTTGTAGCTCAGGGAAGCGCTCCTGTCTTTCAGGGCTCTTAGAAGAAGCAGCCATTGGCTTTTAGTATATAATACTAAAGAGGCTTTTAGTATGGGTGTACTTGGGTAAAGCTGTCAAGGAAGGAAAAGTAGTGAGAAGAGTGTGGACCTCATTGACAATAAGGTGAAATAAATCCTATGTTGGAGACAGCGGTGTTGTTTCTCCCCTACTTTTTGGTGCAAACGCTAAAACTCAGTTTTGGGAACGTGGCAGCTGTAATTGTATTTCTAAGCTCTGTCATGATAGGATTTTGTAAGTTCTGGATATTTGAACTTCCTGGAGATAATACTTCATGTAATGCACTGACTAGTCATCCATGATGAGATGTATCTGCACTCAAATGAATTTTCTCTTTAATTGATAGTTGTCTTTTCTTTTAAATGCTTGTATGTCTAGTGAAGTGTTTTTCAACCCAGTCTGTGGTTTAGCCCTTGCTGATTAAGATTATTTTTACTATCCTCCTGGTGTCTCAAAATGAGGGACCGCAATGAATAGGCGCTCTAGTTTCATGCTTTTCTTTAATGAATGGATCACAGAATGATATGGGAACACTCGTGTGACTGCTGAAAAAAGGCGAGGTGGGGAGGAGGTTGTTTTAGAAATAAATGTCTCGGCTAATCAAGCTGTGCTTCCCTCTTTCCCCCCTCCCTCCTTGCTGGCCAGAGACAAAAGCTGTGCCTCAGCTGTAGATTGAAAAATTGCATGACGTTTTCCTTTAGCAAAACTGTAGAGCATCCATTTTGACTGGTTTTACGGGGTGTGAGTTGGGTGGTTTGTGTGGGTTCTTCCTTTTAGCATTTCACAAGTGCCTCATATTGTGTCAGTCTTTCAGCCAAATCCTTCAACTGCTGAGTCTTCCATTTCTGAAGGTGGAGATCTTGCTTTGCTTTGTGCTTACTCTTTGGTCTCTTCCCTAACCAGTACTTTAATAAGATAATATTGGAAGGCAGTTTCTCCATGAGGTACCAGCTGAGGAAAAAGTGTCCTTGACCAATCAGTCCAGCGTGGAGAAACAGTGAAGAAACCTGAATGATCTGTTTAATAAGGTTGACGTCTTGTAATGCACGTTCAGTGTCTTGTGAGCCACATCTGTTCCCACTCTTATTTCAGGCCGTCAGGCTCTTTCCATTCCATGAGCTCTACCCCACGATGGGTTATTCTTTCCATAGCATTCTTTTCTCTGATCTCCCTTTAATGCAGAGGTTTTGGGTTGTTCTGGGTTTTTGCATGTTATTGCTGTGATGATGAAACTCCTTTGTTCTTTTGCAGCTTTGCATGTATGTGCTCTGGCTTACCCAAGGAAGGGAATGTCGTGTTTGCTTTCTGCTTTTGCAGAGAACTAGAAAGTAGGGATGTAAACCTGTAAAACCAATAGGCTTTTTGTTTGTTAGTTTGTTTTTAACATTGAGGGTAAGAAAAATAAAGCAGCAAAACCAGTATTTGTCTGTAACTAACTTCAGGAAAACTGAGAGGATAGTGAGAAGAGTAGAGCAGCGGGGAGGGCATGTTTTCTGCAAGCTGCAGCCTCTCTCAGCTGTTACAGTGGTGCCAATGGTGATTCCAGTTGATTTTGTATGAACAAATTCTTCTTACAATAGGTAGTGCAATGGATTCCCTAATTCCATGGCTGTCAAACTTACCTAGAGAACAGCGTACTAAATTGTTGTCATTTTGTGCAGAACATTGTTGAAGGGCTTGATAACTTCCATTCTGTCAAAAGTAAACTTTCTATGTTCTTATTTTAAACACAAATGTGAGATACAGCTTAAGTTGCTCGTATCACAGCGAACACTTGCATGAATATAACCATTTTTGACTGTTTGATGTGTATTTAAAGTTCTTTAGCTCTTTATTTTTAAACCCTCAAACAAGGCAAACGAAGCAGAAATACAATGTAAGTTGCTGAGTTAGCTGTTAGACAGCATTTAAAATACTAATATTTTTAGTAGAAAACTGTAGCACTTCTCAGAAGGAAAACTACTCAGGAAGCAGTGAGCTCTCATGGCACCACAAATAAGCTGATATTTTAGAACTAGAGATTGAGTTGGAGAGAGTGATTTGGTTCATGGGTGGGGCCCTCATGAACATAACACGTCTTGAAATGTGGGTTACATATTTGACGGGAGCTAAAGCCAGGTTTATGAATTTAGGGCATTCTATTTATGGCTTCAGGTTTAAGTGAGATGAAAGCTGACATTTTGGCTGAGTTTAGCCTTTGAGGTTTCTTGGTTTGTTTGAAGTAAAAATTCAGTGAAACTCAGCACGGACCCCAAGTTATAAATGGAAATCAAGAATCATGCCTAGGTTTGGAAATAAAATTTCTCTGCAGCTCTTCCTGAACTCAGAATTTTATGGGTTTGGTTTAGTTTTTGGTTTAAAAAAATAATTTACTAGTGGGCAGAAAATATAATTTTTGTCTGCCACCTCAGCTAACACATTGAATGCACAGAGCAGCATGGGAATAAGTTGGAATCTCCTAATTCATGCTATTAACTAAAATAGGTTTTATTCCAAATGCTTAAAATTGACACATGCACATCTAAAGATTTGTTGGTCTTGATACAGGTAGAATAGTTGCAAAGGTAGCTTTAGAGAGTCCTTTTTGTACTTTTTTCTTTCTAACTCCTGGCTTTTTCCTCCTTCATCTCTCTTCTGCTTTCAACAGGCCCTCAGATATTTGTTGAAAAGAGAAGCCTTCAAGGTGTGTTTAAAAACAAACAAACCAAAAAAAAAAGGCAAAAAGAGAGTGTCAAGTTTCAATCCCTTCAGTAATCTGGTGGCTGCCTCTCTGTCTAAATTCCCTAGTTTTATTGCTACAGAAGTGATCTACTCCAACAATGATTTAGAAAGAAACAAATTCTGTTACACTTAGAAAAAAACGTGTTTTGTAAACTGTTTCCTTTATCTGAAACTATGAGACAGTCTTCAGTATCCTTTGTACAAGTCCGAGTTGGTTTTGTTGTTGATTTTACTTTTTAAAGGGAGAAAGTGGCAGAAAATAATTTTTTCCCCTCCTTCCTTAACAGCCTAATACTGGAATTGTTTGTTAGAAACTGTACTTCAGCGTGGTTATTTTTATCAAGCTGGTATAAATGGCAGTGCTTCCTTGGAAGGAAAGAGAGTTGCCTCAGGTTTTGGGTTTCCCCTTCCCTTTTTGATCTAGACTACAGATGTTTAAAACATGGTGCTGTAAGACTACTGTTGACTATTAGTTCTTGAGTAAAAAAAAAAACAATTTGTGGTAATAGTAGCTGTGTTCAAGGTTTATTTTAATGTGCATGGCCAGGTGTTCTCGGCTAAGGATTCAATTACCTACGTCAGTCTTTAGACAGTTGGTTTTGAGCGTAAAACCACGCACATACCAGATCCTGTCAGTGTAAGTTTGCTCAGGCTAACCGGTAACCGTGGCAGACCAGAATGCTATTCGTATCACTGAAGAGCAGACCATGAAATTTCCTCCGAAGCTCCACGCTATGTGTCTTTGGTGTTGTCTTTCTGTATGGACTAAAATTACTTAGATTGGTTTTGAGTGCTTTGCTCTATTTTTGCCCTTGCAATTGGTCTCTGCTGACCTAAGGATTTCTTTCTGACTCAGAAAAGATCCTAAAAACATCCACAGTGTGCACAGGAAACAAAGCAAAATCTGCGACTACTTTGGATCCCATATTTATTTTGGTTTTGTCCATTCAGCAAAGCAAAGTCATCTTCTAAATCATTTTAAACTTGGCTTTCCTACCTCTGCATATATCAGGCTGTGCTTAAAACAAGTTGCTTTTGACAGTGTTTCTGCAGTCTTTGTCTCAACAATTTGGATTTTTCAGGCTGCCAAGCAAAACAATTTGTTTTGGCTGTGTTTGCTTGACTGTTTAGTAAAATACTACACATTCCTGATGAGTGAATAAGATGCTTAAAAAAATAAAAGCTACTGGGTTCTTTGTGGTCATCTTATTTTTAATGTAGACTTATGAGCTGAGACCTGATTTTATACAGTGTTTTTCAATCGTTACGTTCTTACTGTGTGGTGCCTCTCTTTTAGAATACGTTGTTTCCCATGGGTATGTACAGCCAGTATTACGATTTAGTGGATTATCTCTGCCTTAAGACTGAAGTTAGGTCTAAAGTTTTTAATCCAATAAATAAAATTCCTGAATACCTTAATATGGTCTTTTTAAGGAAAGATGGACATGCAACTTCCTAAAACCTGCAATTTTTAATATTACTTAAATTTATTAGATAGAAGGATGATCCAAGACCTAGGCATCCTTTATTTTAACCCTTGCAGTGGTTTGGGACCAGAGGGATAAGACTGAAAAGAACACAGAATTCTAAGTTTGCTCTGCCTCAAAATACTACTTCATGAATTCTTTCACATGCACGCTCTCTCTCTTAATATCTTGAGAATGACGTGCTATTGCAATATATTGAGAATGCCACTGCTGTTAATAGCTTTTATTTGAATTCTGATTAACTTCTAGAAATTGCAGTTGGGACTGTACTAGCCTGTCTATAAACTCTCGAGACTTTCTGGGTTGGACATTCCCAGAAATACAAATTGGACAAACGGTAGGAAAATGAAAGTATTTTTATTTTATTCCTTAGATGGAGAATTAAACTACAGAAACTGCAGCTCATTCAGTGTCATACAAAATCTATGAAAGCAGCTGGGCACTGGAACCCTATCTCTAGAAGCCCAAACTGTGCCTAAACGACAGTTCACTTTTGACCATCAGATCTTACTGCAGTGTTCAGCGTTTGCTTCCCCGAGGTGGCAGCTGGTAGAGTGCCACAAGCGCATTTCTGCTGCTGAGTGCTCAAGTGCACAACTGCAGCTCGCAGCAGCTCTCTCACCTCAGCCCGAGGAAAGCGAACAGGCAGTATGGCCCTTTAGGGACTAGCTGCTGCCCTAAGTTTGACTGGGGCCGGGAGAGATGTGCATCAGGATATTCTCGTGGCTGGCAAACAAAGGAAAAGGAAAAGGAAATGGGGTTTTTTTGGAGGTAACTGT